CTCTGTCTGTATTCTCACTCACCTCTTCCGGTGGCCTGAAAGAAAATCGGCGCTTACCTCTCTCACTGGGGCTTGGATGGCGGCGATTCAGCTTTGGTTTCAGCTGGTGGTGGAGTTTGGGTACAGTACGGAGTAGCAACGGCAGTTTCCACAGTGCTGCAATCTCCATTGATCGTGCCCAAGTTATTCCAATCGATGCTGGTGCTGCATTCTCCATCTGTGTATCTGAGTGTCAAGGAATGCAACAATGGCATGTGGACACCACTACAAGCTTTTTGATTTGGTTGAATTGGTTAATTGAACCAGTCTCGTTGACCAAAACAAGAAAAGTTTGGTCACAAACAAGGCAAAGACGCTAGGCGCGAATTTTCAGAACCAGTAAGGATACAGTCAGTAAACATGTCTGTAATGCTGACATCAGCGACCGACGATAGCCAGTAATCCGCCGCGTTCTAACAAAGGCCAAGAGAAGAACCCATGAGAGAATATATGAGTTAAAACCATATTCAAAAAGTATATTCATTAGTACAAACTTACATCAACTTCGGGGATGATTTTCAAGATGCCAGACACGAAATCGTGTGATGTGCCGACATCTGAGGACAACCTTTGCGTTGCATTTTCATGAACGCCGGCGGCGTCATTTTCTATGCTCTCAGCCACAACTTCACTGGTTGAAGGGATGGTTGTAGGTGATGCTTCAACAGCATTTATCTCTTCAAAAGTTTCTTCGAATTGGCTATCACAAGTTGGATAGTGAGTCAATGCAAACAGAAGAAGGCACCGGCAAGGCATTAACAAAAAAGAAGGCACTAAAAACTATTTAAAATTACAACTGAATTAAAAGCAAATAAATAGAAAAGTCTTCTTGCTAAAAAAAGTACCTGACAAGGTAAACGTCAATTGGACCCATGGTACTTCTCAAAACTATCCTGTATCTCCTCTGCGGATAATCAACAGCCTGTTTGAGAGGTTCAAAAGGGGTAAAAACGGAAATCCACCTGAACTGAGGAACAAAAAATCACTCTTTTAAAGAAACTTTATGATAGAAATGTAGAGCATTAACCTCATCAGGATCTGGAACTTCTAAGGTGGTGCCATGAGGAGCTTTAATTGCTATGAGTGTTTCATTCTAAAAAAGGAACAAAAGTATAGTTAAAAGTTAATTGTAAAACACAGTTAAGTAACCGAATGAGATGAAAATAATCTTTTGCGACCTTGTTAAGGAAAATGAGATAAAAAACAATCTCTTTGACTTTTCAAGAGACATATTTGCAACCTACAAAAATCTCAAAGGTCATTTCGTATTTTGACCCTGACGCCGTGGTAGATAAATGTTATTAACCCAAAAATTAATCTTTCTGTACCTGAAAACACGGCAAGTTCTTGATATCCTCTTCAGTAACAAAAAGCCATCTGATAGAAAATAAACAGCCTCAACAAAATTCACAGCCATTTTAAATTTGAACATTATGGTTCTAATATGACAAAAGAAATTGTGGACCTTTGATTGTTTTCATCTTCGCTCAGGTCCCTCAGTCTTTCTTGCATTTCTCTAAAGCAATTTCATGGCATCCAAATCAGTACAATCATAGTTAAACAATGGCACTCTCAGTACAATAAAGTCTGCAAAAAAAAAAATCACCTGATCTGTTCATCTATTCTTTGCTCCTCCAAGGTCAAGCCCTCCACTTCTGCCTGCAAGAAGTAGCACTACAACTTGAGAATGCATCCCATTATTCCAATTCACATTTAGAATCTGTTTCGGACACAGAAAAATACTAAGGGAAGAAAATCCGATGAAAAAATGATATGATTTTTTTCATTTCCAAACCATTTTTTGTGTTCAAATTATAGCTATGTGCTCGTATTATTTTCGTCTCACCTGCAAGCTCATAACACTCTCATCAGGATCTCCTCTTCTTGCCACGTCCAGACCCCTGCACAAATCAGTATTAGTCACTCCTCATTTACTGAGAAAGATTTGAAGGAAAGTAAAGCATTTAACTTTATTAGCAATTTCAAAAATGAAGCTCGTATCGATTGCATAGATTTCCATACTTCCATTGAATTTTGTTCTTTAGATTCTTTTCTATTAGACCAACGCCTTCCAGTACATTTGTTATGTCATAGATGCGCCTTTTCTGGACCTGTTAACAAGGAAAAACTAGATTGTTTCATCATGAAGAAACTACACGAGATGTAGGCAAGGGGAGGTATGGTTACCTCTAATGTTTCAGCTGCTTTGTTTAGATCAAGAGTGCCATCTTCGGCTTGCTTGATAAGATTGATGAACTTCTTTGTTAATAGACCTGAGATAATAAAAAAAACCACTGCCATTTTACCCCACTTATACTCTTTCCAATCATTCAACAATAATAATGCAATGTCACAATAAAGCTCCAATAAATTACATGGAAAATGTTTTCCAGAAAGATAATAATATCCCATTAAAAGAGTGCACTTTGATCAACTTACTAATTTTAACAAGGTATACTCTTATAGAGCATTAAGTATATACTTGTATTCTTAAAGAAGTAGAGAAATATGACTCATTTTAATGGACAGAGGGAGTAATGTTTTGCCAAAAAAATAGATCAGAAAAAAAGTAATTTGCTGTTAAACATTTTGTTGTTCCAAAGACAGGAGAAACATAATATATTTTCCTATAAACAAAGAGAGGCAGAAGTAATTTATGTGCACATTCAGATAATCTTGGTTCACCAGGATGACATGCTTGGTTGCTAATTAAATAATATTACAACTTCCAAACATACTTACAGACAAGCATATTTACCTAGTGAGCTGTCATATCGACATGAACCAACTGGAGTGGCATTGTTGTTAGATGGCGATTCTGCAATACGTTACAGACAAATATTTCCTCATTTTTTCTTTATAGGTGAGTGCTTTACCAAACACTTATTACGGATTTTGAAAACAAAAATGAATTCTCAAAATTTTTGTGATAAAGGGATAACTTATGTAATATTCCGAACAACGCCTGAAGAAAAAAACATTTTTAAAAGAATTCTCACCACCATTGGCAGCGGTTTGAGATGCAGATTTATGATTAGCCCTTGATGACCTGGAGGTTTTCTGTTCCTTCCCAGATTTCCCTGAAACCGGCGTTTGCAGTGGGCTGTTGAGGGCATATACAGAAACTGCATTCTCATCACCAGATGTATGATTGAGATTTATTGTCTCTGACTTCCGCTTTAATGGCTAGTTGAATCAATAATGAGTCAGTATAGAAAATGATTCCAAGATTTATCAGAAACTCAAAGCACAATTCTGGGAACGGTGGGTAAGAGGTATATTTAGAAAGCAAACATGGTTTTTGGATAGTTTTAGTGAAGAAATGTATCTTTATATGAACTCGTCACAGCATCACAAGTAAAGAAAGAAGTTAATTTACAACTATAAATAATTTTCTTTTTTAAAAAATGTAAAATGCAAAACTGGGGTACTGATGATAAAGCTTATTTTAGAATATACACTTGCCAAGGCCACTCAATATTTCCCAACAAAAACACAACTACATTGATTCCTTGTTTCCGATTTTTAATAGTAATGAACAATTTTTTTTAGAAAAGAGAATATTATTAATCCATCTTCCCATATGTAACAACACACTCGAATGCGATTGGAGGACATAACCCCGTAGTGATTTAGACACTTAATTACTCTTCCTAAACCAGCAGCAATTCTTTGAAGTTACATAACTACCAGCTCAACTTTGCCAACCAAATTGCTATACTCAGAAGGTGAAAATACATCATAATCAAAAGACTCAAACTTTATTGATAGCATGGCCAAATGATCCAAATAATATCAACACAGATCTGACTATAAAACACATACACGAATGCATACATGAAATGATGAAATTGAACTGTGACCAATTATGGGAATAGCTAACCAAGCAGAAAAATGTCAACTTTCTTAGTAAGTAGTAGGTACACCCAAAATCCAAGCTCAAGAACAAGAAACATACAACACAAATAAACCCTAGTAAAACAGACGAACTACTCACCGGATTTTTCACCACGATACCTTCAGCTTCTTGAGAAGCCAGGTGGCCGGAGAACCGGCGGTAATCCCCAAACGGAGGCTTCACCGCCGTGGACGGCAGCTGCCGCTGCTGCCGCCCCAAGGCATCTTCTTGCTGCTGCCTCTGCATTATTTGGCCGGAAGTTGAAATTCTTGAAACCCTCTCGAGAAAAGAAAAGGGGAAGCTCGATTGGAAGCCCTTGTGTGGGGTTTTGAGGAATTGGGGGTTTTTCAAGAAAGGGGTAAACGGAAAGAATGGGAGATGGGGCCGGAGTGATTGAGCAGATGGGGATGAAAAAGAGTGAATCAGAGAGGGGAGAATGAGATCTGAGGTGAAATGGAGGACTGGGAAAAAGCGGGAAGAGAGAGAAAAGGGGAAGATGATGAGAGACGAGGGAATGGGGAAGAAGAGGGAATTTGGTTCGGATGCAGATGTGGAGGGAAGTCAGGGAACCCACCCCCATTACAAAGTTTCCTCCTCTCATTTTTGGGCCCTATAAAATAAATATTTGTAATTTTGTACTCTATAAGTCTTATTCACTCTTAAATCTTCACTAGAGTTGAGATATTCTTTAATTTTTTTAAAGATCTAGTATTTGTCTATTTTTGACTTTTTTCAATCAAAATTAGTAAATTTTAATTTCAAATTAAATAAAAATGATATTAAATATCGATACAAAAATATTTTTACTAGATTTATGATATCAAATATTTTCAAAATATTATTTTATACTTTTATCTAATTAATAAACAATATATATTTTATTTAATTATAAGTGAAAGATTAAAAACAATTGACCGAAAAAAATCAAAACTGAACAAATAGCCAGAAGAATTAGGGTCTCTTAATCATCAATGGTTTTCACAATTATTTACTCGTATTATTGTAAACTGTTATAACAAAAATCAAATTATGTTTGGATGGATCTCTTGAAATTTTGCTTGGAAGTGATTGGAGTAATTTCTTTTCCATGAAAAAAAACAGATTTTTCAACCCATATGCAACACATAAAATGTATTTCATCCAACACCATATTCAACGCAAAACACACAATATTCACGTACTCCGTCACAGTAGATTGCCTTATTTTTCAAATGGAATTGCCACCGTCACACTGGCAATGAACTGCCAGTGTCACAATGACAGTACCAAACTGCCAATGTCACACTGGCAGTGCCAAACTGCCACTGACAAACTGTCACTAACAGTCTGTACGTTATTGTCTATGCAAGCGTCGTCATTGGGATTAAAATACAATTTTCTATTTCAAGAATCACAAGGGGGTGGGATCTACTTGAAGAGATGAGCCAAGTCAGGGTCATCCAAGTCTAAATCCAACAATCCATTCAGCTGCATGTACTCAATGTAGTGATCCGGGGGCTTGATGGCGCGAGGGTTCCTCACGGTGAATCCATGGATCCTCTCCACATCCCGAAAGAGCAGCCGCACAAAGTCCTGATCTATAGGAGGCACAATCTTCAGCATCACCACATCATCCCCTCGCTTTGGCTTTGCAGGTTTGTTGCCCATTCGTTGTATTGCAGCCACGATAGCCCCAACGTCTGTGGTGAAGGAAAATGAGCTCGGTTACAATTCTTTGACCAACACAAAAAGTGGATGAAGATGACATTTTTACCCCTTGCTGTCCACTCTCTTGTTTTCGTTAGTCCGGATTTAGTTCTCCACTTTCCATATTCAATAAAGAAACGAATCTTACACAAAGATTGTTGACAAGACTGGGGGACGGAGGGAGTACATTTGTCTTTATTTCACAAAGAAACTATATTTACACAATTCAGCAGATCGAACCATTTAGCCAATACCCTAAAATTTCAGCAAATAAAGCTACTTCTATGTCTTTAAACCTTACCAAATGGGCTCTTAGCTAATTCACTCAAACAATAATGCACTATACACGAACATGGAGTTGGAGATGACCACAGATTAGCTACATACATTTCATGGTCATAACACTTGATCACGGTCTAGAATCATACTCCGTGTAATACGGAGTATCTGCCGAACTGATTTGTACATTTTGGTCCTTCAACTGCTACAACAATTAAGTGGTTGTTGTGCAATAACTTGACCAAATAAGGGTTGTTTACGAAACCGGATGTATAGCATAATTCAATGTATGGTACCCAAGCAAAACGTAACTTGACGCAATGAAAACACAGGTAATTGATGAAGTAAACTTTGCAAAATCAATCAAAGTACCCAGAAATCTGACTTCGCCTCATCACAAGCATATTAGCTCATATACTAATTACTTTCATTTTGATTTCAGCTCAAGAAGCTGGTATTCTTTTTTCTTACAGCAAGTAATTTCTTTAATTTAGAATTCGATTCAGTTCAAAAAGATACTTTTGATAATGAGGTTCTAAATATATTTCCCCTGAATTCATGAATTATGATCTTATTGTCTGGCATGAACATTCAAAACAGCCATTAAAACAAGGGTTACTCCTATGAATTCTGTCTCATTGAATTGGCAAAGTTGGAAACGAGAGATGCAATATGAGAGCGAGAAACAAAATACCGATGCAGATGCGATTCCATTAAAAGGAGGAATTACGGGAGACTCACCGACCGGTGGTGGAGAAGATGGCGACGACGGCGGCGGTGCGGAGGCGGAGATTCTGTGGCGTTGAGGACTTGAGGTAAACTAAACGCCCCACCTCCCCTATCCCCAGTATTTACTTCCACAGTACAAAAATGGTTCTCCCTCCGTCTCAAAATATTTGTCTACTTTTGACATTTTGTGGTCAAAATTTGTAAACTTTGACCCTTAATTAAATAAAAATGATATTAGATATTGATACAAAATAGTTTTAATAGACTTATTATATAAAATATTTTTAGAAATATTATTTTTTCTAATTAATATATAATATATATTTTATTTAAATATAAGTCAAAAATTAAAAATAATTGACTGAAAAAAGTCAAACTAGAGAAATAATCTGAAACCGAGGTAGTATCATAATGCAAATTTTAATTCAACACTATTGACACTGCGGTGTTATTACCATTTTCAAACACCTACAATGTTTCGTTCATAAAATTAACAATCCAAACCTCAACTTCTTCCCGACTCGAACCCACCCACAACTTTCAATTTCATCACCAAAATTTTGTTCGGTTTTGGAATCAAATTTGGACTTAAATAAATTAAACTAAACTAAAAGTAACCTCAAAAACCCAATTCATGAATACAAATTTCATTTACTTTTTTATACACCAATTTTTACACTAACACTCAATTGGATTTTGGATTCTCTTCATACACAATCCATAATATATTTGAAAATCAATCATGCCCCCAAAAGATTAGTACTAGATTTGGATGTTCCCAAATTCCACATTACATACATACATACATTTGACTCGTTTGATGATCAAAATTAGCAATTTACATAGAACAAAAGGCAAAACTATGAACATTGCCAACAAACTTGGGGAAACTTATCTAGTATTTCGTTGCGAATTATAATTTCCCGAGCTCGAAACCGCGGGCCGAAAACCGGACCCACGCCATTCGTTACCCGACCCACTACCTCCGGGTGGCAGTCCGGGCACACGCCACGGGTTCGGTGGTCGAACATTACGGGTAGCAACATTGCACCAGACCCCGCCCTGATTGGGCGGTGGGGCAGACAATGTGGGCCATCCCATCTGCCCTTGGTTCTCTCCACTACTCCTGGGTGGCGGCGGTCCGGGCACGCGCCATGGGTTTTGTTGCCGAACATTGGGCCTGACCCCGCTGCCCATCTGATTGGGCCGCGGGGCAGGCATCGCGGCCCGGCCCATCTGCCATTGGTTTCTGGGCTGAGCCGTTGGCTGCATGTAGCGCGGTCTTTGAGGGGCAACGAATCTTGGAGAGCTGTAATGGGCCTGCAACTCGGGCCGAGGCATGGTCTTCCCACGACCGGCCCATCTAGTGCCCGCCTCTTTAAAACGGCCCACGCCCGAAACCAGCTCATGAGGAACAGAGTTCCTATGATTTCCCATACTGCCATTTGCTAATGGCCTTCCCCTGTTTCCTTGATTATGTGGCCTGTTGCTGCAATGTACAAATAAATAAATAAATAAATAAATAAATAAATAAAATAATTATATATATATATATATATGTATGTATGTATGTATATGTATATGTACACACACACACACATACATATTTGAGGAGTGTGTCTGTGAATACCTGTAAGAGATGGCTGGTCTGGCATTGAATTCATGCCAGAGAACTGTTTGTTCAATATCACATTCATGCACAGTCTGTAGAGATTAAACCAGCTTTTCATTAGAACATTTTGGTAAACATTTTTCATTTCATGGGTTCATGTGTAACTGGAAATGGCTGTAAGGGCATGTTTGTGTTGAGAACAAACCTTTTCACGGGGAAAATCGGTACCGGCTAAAACTCTAGGAATGAACGATGAGATTGGAGAGGTACGAAAGAAGACACACCTGTTGCATAAACACACCAAGTCATACACTACACTTCAAAACATTGTCAAAAATGACTCTTTTAGGTCTCCAACAAGAAACTGGAAGAAAAAATTACTCACAGAATGTCGCTCGACAGATTATCCTTTTCATCCTTCTTAAGCCAAACCGTGCCACAAATTCCCCCACTGTAAAATAGTACAGCAAACAGTCGAACCGTTTAGTGTATAGTCGTGCGTAGGAGCAATTTTTTAAGGAATGTGCATAAACCTTTTACTAACCTTAGTGCATGACCAAATTTAATGGCATCGTTTTCGTTTAAACCACAACCTTTTGTGAACAAAGACAGAATTTGCAGCCCAAGTTCACATGATCTTCCCATGAACAGCTTCTCCGCAGTCACCGAATTTCTCTCTTTGTCAAGATTCTGCACGGCATTTCGCACAATACGAGGTATTATATTGAGTATAATATGGGGAAACATTATAGGAAAACATAAAGTAAGCCTATTATTAAAAAGGGGTTGATTCCAAAAAAAAATACCGTGAGACTTTCGCCAAGCTTATTCGTCTCAGCTAGAAGACGCTTTTCCTCTATGAATGGAAGCTTTGTTACACCTTGCCACATAAATCTCTTACCATCGAGGTCCGTCTCAAAATCTAAAACAGACGTGAAATGGTAAAAATAAATCAACTCACATTAAACTTTGTTTTTGAAGAGTAGAGCGTTACTTCTGACAAGAACTTACTGGTTGGGTAAAAATCAATAATGGTCGACTTGTCGTCAAGCATGAGCATCTGATATGCTTCTGGGAGTGCATGGGCACTAAAGGAAACAGAGTTACATGCCAAAAACCATTGTCCCAAAACCAATTGACAATTAGATGAATAACTCATATTCTTATATATTAGTCTTTTTTTTAGCCAGAGTTAAGCTCACCTCCCCGGAGGAAGGACTGACATGAGTTGATCAAAAGGTTTAAAGGGCTCTTCTATCTTAAATTTCACCTTTGTTTGAGCCATTCCTTTCATGTCTGAGGCAAACGGGCCATAGTGATACGGGTAGTACCTAAACAATAACACAAACAAGTCGTATATATCAAGCCACGTTTCGCGAAGTCAAGGACACAACCATTGTATTTTCTTACCATCCCCATGACGGTACTCCCTTAAAGTAATACAACAAGACCCAAAGTAACCCTTCCGTGTAGTGTTGGACCTGCAACACGGCAAGGCATTACATTCTTAAGGGCACACAAGACCTACACACATGCTTATCATTGTGTAAGAAAGGACATCTGTTTCTCCTCATTTCATTAATAGGGCATGTCGAAACGCACCACGTCCTTTCTGGTCTTTTCAACATCCGCTTGGCTTTCCAAGTTGAATTTTAGCATGTAATAACGCTCCCTCCATCCATGCGAGCCAAGTTTTACCTGTTCAAAACAGGAAAGTTTGTGTACTAATATTACGCCTTGGGTTTCCATCCAAAGATGAGACCCTAAGCATTGATTTGCATTTTTTAAAAAAAAATTCCAAATTAAGATGTGGGAAGCATAACAATTAGATTGGGATTCTTTTGGCACCCAACCTATGTGTCCTAATGACGTCCGGTCCATTTGAAGGCCCCACATAACAATTATTCAATTTCCAAGAAACCTATATGGTAAAATAATAGCCGATCCATCCCCAACCTTTTCTGCAATAACCCCATGCTTAAACGTATCGGCATTGTTGCGTATTATTTCCTTCAACTTCCTCTTCAACTCCTTAGTATTTTCAATAATCTGCAAAAGTTGGGACTTTAATGCAATGCTCAAAATACACTCTTAGATAACATGCCATCACCAATTAAATTGCCTACAAATAAAGGGTATCAAATGGTGGCATACCGAAGGGATGTCATTTTCCTGAGTATTTGGAACAAATGATGGCACGTTGTCTTCTATGTCACCGTTCTCCTCATTCTGGTGACACAAATAATAAATATGCTCATTTATAGCCCACCATGGAATTGACTACGACAAACAAACCCAGTAAAATCCCACAAAATGTAGGGTTGGGCACCATGGACTAGATTAACATAGAAAAAATTGGGAGTCATTTGATGAACTCACATCATCTCTAGCTTCCAATGCCAACCGCCTATTTTTCTTCTCTTTGATTGCCATTCTTTTCATAAATATCTTCTCCTCGAACGTGCCAACAGAGAGTATGAACCTTTCAACTCTTGACAGCTTTATGAAACCACATTTTGGATCATCAACCTGTTTCAAAGCGCAGTTTGATTATTTTCTCTTTTTGAATAAAATAATTTATACTCCTATCTTACAAGTAAAATTTACCTGCTCGCAGTAAAAACTTAGAAGTAAAAATGAATTAATGAATTAATTGTGTACCCTTTCTATATCAACCAAATATCCTCCGAGATTCTTGAACTCTTTCTTGTAAACATATATGAGCAAATCAATAGCACCCTGCGGTAATAAAGAAAACCAACACACAATTTAGAAGATGGCTAATCAAGAAATATGAACGAAAAATGAACAAGAAATACCTCATGGATATCAAGAGTGGGCATATGAGGAAGGAAATCATTCCCCGCAAAGAAACACATGAAAACAAAATCATCGATAACTCTCTCTAAATCAGCTTGTTTAGAATCTGCAAGAAGGCCAGTGCAGATATCGAGTTCTAGGTACTCCCTCAGCACCCAAACATTGAGGAACTGCAAATAAAAATAAAGATTAAAACTTTAACCAAGCAAATAAAGAAGTGAAGACAATGTCAAATTATAAGAATCAACATTACGGAGTACAAATGAAAAATACCTGAAATTTATTCTTGGAAGTGCGACAGTGCTTCGCTTTGGCAGGTCCATTAACAGCATCATCTTGCTAAGTTTGACAGAATAATCAAAATGTTAAAAATATATTTCAAAATAACCACTAACAAGACATCATTTAGGGGGGAAACATTCAAGGAAAATGTATAAATGAACTAAAATGATTTGATCCCTATTCAACCTTCCCAAACCATCCTCTACTACTCACAATATGAGTTTCAGCTTTCTGAATACCAAGTTCAAGAGATGATAATTGATTCGAGAGGTCATCCTGAATCAGAACATTCTGCACGAGCCACACGAAAACAACAGATGAGTTAATTAATTCATTAGGCAATTAATTAATAAAACAATTGTGACTAAAGAAATGAAGATTGCAAACTACTAATGACTTTTACCTCCCTGAAAACTGAAAAGTGAAGCTCATGTGAAGCTAATGCCAACATAATAAGGTCAGCATCCTGCACAGTATTGAGAAATAATCTTTTTATAGGTAAAAACATGGTGAAAATAGCACATCAAGCTCACGGTAAATATAGAAATTAGTTTCAGGTTTACCATTAACCCAAAAAAAACATTAAAAAGTCCTACCAAACCATAGAGGCAGTGACGAGTGTTTGGATTATAATCTGGAAAAGTACGTTGTGCACGGATGAAAGAGTTTATCTTGTGTTCCCCTTCACCAGGAACATTAGAATCAGAAAGAATCACCTGCCCAAAAGACAATACTAACCTTAAAACCTAAACAACAATTCCAAGCAAAAGTTTTAAAGAAGATTACTCCGTACAAAATATGAGGTCTTAGGGGCCAAAGATCAAACCTTTACACCCTTCCAGCCAGGATTTGAACTGATCCTTTCTTGGATGTAACCTCTTAGTTTATCAGAAAGTGCATACATAAAAAAGGTGCCCGGCGTTATAACATTCGAATCTGATACTTCAGATTCCTCTTTCGCTAGGACCTCTTTACCCTCACTCGCAAACTTCTGTCTTAACTTCCTTTCCTCTTCCTCCTGTTTCACCACATTGTCTAAACTATTTATTACGAAGCAAACATATCTTCATTAAAATCACAATTTTCGCACAACCTAAGTGCAAGAGAACCAAATCAACCAAAGGTCAAGTTTGACTTAAAGACCCAAGGTTAACAAGATTATGGTTGATGGCTCGGGAAATGTTTTATGTTCCTCAAAAAAAGTATTTAAAAAAAAATATAAAACCTATTAACCTAAGATACAAGCATCAGATTACCATGATCTCCTTATCCATGGCTGTCCTGAACCTCCGTGCTCGTTGCTGGTTCATTTTAGCCCGCGGCGCAACACCATCTGCCCGAAATCAAACCACACCATTCTCACAAACCAAGCTATGTGCTAGATTATATACCAACAAATATGTTTTCAAAAAAAAAAAAAAGAATACCAACAAATATAGTTTTACCCACCTATTGCCATGTACAGCAGCTTTCTAGGCCGTACAATGTTAAACAGCCGATCGATGTAGTCAAAGATGCTGTTGAAGACTTCCTCGTACGTAGTTGGAGGAAACATCTGATCAGCATACACAAAACCCAGAAACCATTTACTCTCCGAAAGATTAAATAATCAAGAAAACAAAAGAAACCTTTTTTTTTCTTTCTTTTTAAAGAAACAATTGTTTTTTAAAGAAGGGGGGAGAGTAAGTACAGTTTCTTCCGGGTGGAAACATGGATGGATGATCCCATTCATGTCCAGATAAAAGTTATCGAATTCAAGTCCATTTGGGTTGGGCAAGGATGAATCAACTTCAACCCCATCCATTTCCACTGCATTTTCTACTATTTTTGGGTATTTCTTGACTAGCCATTTGTAAAATGAAGGAACCCCCATTGCAAAAAAAAAAGTTTCAAACTTTTTGCTGTTTAAAGAAAACGTAGTGCACAGTGCCACTGTGTATGCAATCTGATCAGTATATGTAGTTGAAAATCAGCGGAGGAAGAAGAAGAAGAAGTGTGGGAAGTGATGAAGTTTGATCTTGGGAATCGGGGGGGTAGTAGTTCTTGCAGACATTACTATAAGTTGTAATGATTTGAGCTAAGTTTTTGATGAATCTTAGGGGGGCGTTTTGCTCGGGAGGGGGAACTGTTTATAGATAATGGTCCCAAATTAAAGCGAGTGGGAACTGTTCTAAGTTAATGGCCGGTGGTTAAAGTAATTTTAGGGACAATTCTTTTTTCTTTTAGGGTCTGTTTGGGAATAGCGTTACAGATTAGCGTTAACGTTTTGAAAAGGCTATCGACGGGCAGCGTTTAGCGTTAGCGTTTTTCAAATTAATCTACAACAACAACAACAACAACAACCCAGTTAAATCCCACAAGAGTAGGGTCTGGAGAGGGTGTGTGTACGCAGACCTTGCCCCTACTCGAAAGTAGAGAGGCTGTTTCCAAAGAGACCCCCGGCTCAACGTCGAAAGTTGCATTGCTTGACTAACTGCTACTTCATTAATTAAGCAAGCGCAGACAGTTTAGAGATCCATTTTGATTTATTCCATCACACCCCAAAGCCAAAAAATGGTGAAATTTTGGCTCCATCAGAGATGATGGAAAAATTTGCACCGTTAAAATTTTATCCAAAACGCTAACGCTAATCTCTAACGCTATTCCCAAACATGCCCTTATTCACCCCATCACACGCAAAAAAAAATCTTCTTTTTACGTTCTTGAGTTGTTTTAATTCAGGTATGAATGCATATTTTGTTGTTGCTTTCAAAAAATTGTTCATTTTTTTCATTTTAATACCGTAAGAGCATGAGCATCGGCGACGGCGAGGGCAATGAGTGCCTCGCACTGCCAACTCAGCTCTACTCCTCCAAAAGCAAGACGAGATTTACTCTATGAGATTCAGCTAAATTAAAACTAAGTTTAGATATATAAAACGAGAACTCCAAATCAAAATGATCGATCCGAGTTCAAGCTTAGTTCTAACCATGAAATATTAATTAGCTCATCCCTAGTATTTTGAAATTTCATATGTCGTCGATGGGCGTTGCGTAGTTAGAAAAAACAAAAAATGTCAAGGAAGTAAGATTTGATGTTTGATTCTTGGCAACTGCATTAAGAAATAATTATGCTAAGTATAGGCTTTTGCAAATATCAGGTGCATGTTTTATTATTTGTGACCAATATGTGATCAAAGCTCAATTTATCTTTCTATTTTCATTTTTAATATTCTTTTTCTATATCTATTTTAACTAAAATACTTAGAGCATGAACAATGACAAGGAAAAAAAGAATGCCACACACTGACATGACATAAATTAACCAATAATAATGGTCCAGTCACAGAGTGGCAAGTGAATAGAGTGGCACACCATACAGTGGCAAGTCGTTACTTTTGTCACTTTTTAAACTTTTTGTAATTTATTTTAATTATTAAAAATAATTTTTGCTACTTGTTTCATTAAAAAAATACTTCTACTTCCTTAAAAAAAGAGTATTTTTTTTCTCAAAAAAAAAATAAAAATAAAAATAAAAAAAGAAAAAAAGAAAAATAGGTGTGGGGTGCCTTGGAGATGACTTGCTCTCCGTGGTGGAATGACTTGCCTCTCCATGCTAAGCATGGCAAATCATTTTTGGGAGCTGATGTGGCAAGTGTGGCAGGCACTTGCCTCGCCCGGTGCCCATGCTCTTAAACTAAAAACATACGGAGTAAAACAAATATTTCTTTAAACTAAAAACACCTACCCTTCAATCATTACTCAAGTATATCTATGTGTCACCGAGTATATGTATATGTATGTTCGAGCTTGTGAAAATTTTTAAACAAAAAAGTAGACTAATAATTTAATTTAATTTTAATCCAATTAAATTTTTAATAAAATTTTGCGGGAGTTGAAAACAAATATATTTTATTTTCTTAGAAACCAAAGTTAATTTTTGTTGGAAAATAAGATTTAAAAATGGGTGTGAAAGAATATATGATGCATTTGTACATATATGTTGTAAATATTACTTTCTATGTTTTAAATTAAATTGTCTGTTCATTATTCACATAGTCAAACTCTATTCTCTTTCTTTTGCTATTTTCGTTAATCATTTAATAAAATTATATAATCATGTTACCACTAGTTTTTAGATCTTTTGATGTACTTTTTTAAAATATAAACTTTATTTTTTAATTCTACATCAATTTTCATATAAAATGATTTGAAAATAATTTCACTTAAATATCATAAACCAAAACAAGCTGTTTAAATTTGGATGAAGTGAGTAATTTTTATTTTTTAATTTATTAATTTTAAAAATAGTTAATGAATTCAATTAAAGGTGTATAGACCTCCTTGCAAATTTGTTCTAGTACCAAAAGAGATCAGAGGAGGTAGTGCTACCCTCCATGCCAAAATGCCACCTAGGCTAAATTTGGTACCAAATTGGTCTTAAGTCTCCCATATCGTCTATTCTAAGAGCATCACTAATGAGAGAGAATAAAGAAGGCAAGTAACCTATCGGAGAGGGTTCTCCTCCTCCCCACGTTCTTTATCTCCCTTGTTTACATACAGTTTGCCAAGCCTTGATTCACAGTTCTTTCTCCGATTAAACTTGAGATTGATTGTTAAATCTAGCTTGATCGTCTCCTTGTTGTGCACCTTTATATAGGTTAAATTTCTCAGATTCAGCGATTTGGAGTTTGATCGCTGGAGCCTGGAGTTGATCTACACGACACTGTTCATCTTCTCTTCCAGCGAGTGGATGTGGTTTTCTCGCCATGGTTAAACCGCTCCTTCAGCCATTATTACCCTCTCAAGGGCGTTCTGACAGAGAAGTGTATTTGGAATACGTAAAAAATAAATCAGGAATTTTTTAAACAAGAAGAGTAGTTCCTATAATCTACTAAACCCTCCTTCAGTTCCCTTCTTCTTCTAAGATAGGGAGAGAGACTCGTGGCTGAATGTAAGACTTTAACAATCACGAGGATAGCTAGTCTTTTTAAAATAGACAAATTCTTTAATACTGTTATGTACAAATGTCTTTTGATGTTCTCCATGTCCTTTGATTATCCTCTTAAATTAGACCTTTGCTTTTCCCCTTTGTAAGCCTATATATAGAGGCACTATATGTTGAAATGGATGATTGATCTCTTTAGTCTATCATTGCATTCCTTCTCTTTCGTTCTACGTTGCACTTTGATCTTTCGTTTGTGTTCTTATCAAGATATATCCCTATCATTTTGTTCATAACAATATTCGTATTATCTTTATTTCTAACACGTTATCAGCACGATACTCTAAAAATTTACTCCTCTTCATATCTTGTCCTTGTTCATATTCATGTTATTGATATATACATATACATATACATAAACACTTATTTATTTTGGTTTTTCTAGTGTACTTGTAGATATATTGAATCTAAAGCTCCTAAATATATTAGAGAATTGGCATGTGATGCCTACATTATGTGTTAAAGTTGAAGGTTATATGATAAAACTCAACTTGAAGTTTGAGTACATATTATGTCGGAAAAAAATTTCATTTCTTTGGTTTTTTTTCTCTTTTGGCTAGTGAACTTGAAGTTCATATTCTAATTTCATATGCTCGAAGCATTAATATGAAAACTCAAACCTGAATATTTGAGTATGCCACATGAATATATAGGTGACATAAATAATAATAATAATGTTAATATTATAGACTTATTATTTGTGATTATGTGATGTGCTCTAATTTATCATTGTGTCCATAGTTTTGCTCTAATTGTAACCTCCGTTATAATAATTATAATAATAATAATAATAATGCATAATAAATAATAATAATAATAATTAAGACCCTTCAAGTACCTAAGCCGTTTTTTAATTTAAAAAAACTCTATTATTCAATTAATACACATTAATTTATTTATTTTTCACAATAATAAAAAAGAGTCAACATGTTCATCAAAACACAATATATGGGTATATGAGATACTACCTAAGGTCTTATAATATTCAATTACCACCTGAAGTGGCTAATTTTTAGTATAAAAAATCTCATTAAAAAGAGATGTTTTGGTATTTCAAGACCTTTGTTCTAATCTATATATGATTCCTCATCGATGTTCCTGAAGAATGATGTAGTTAATATATTATAATCAAAGAAGTGATTATACATATTATTTTTTTTAGATGTAAGAGCTTCTTTTCTCTTGTGATAAAAGAAGTTAGTTTAGATATAATTTTCTTTTTATACAAAACTGATAGATAGCTTCAGAAGAGCATTGCATAATAAGAGCTGCATAATAGAAGTAATAAAGGTCTCATAAATATTGAATATTTTGAGAGAATAGTTATTGTCCTTCATTGACGAATATTCTATTGGGTATAAACAATTAAATCCTTATTGTTTAAGGAGTCTCTATTAATGTTTAAGATACCAGTGGAAATGAATATTACATGACACTTGATCGAGATTTGTTTTCACGTAAACCAGAAGTTTACTGAATCAATTTTTATTCTAAACATAACCAATTAAATTATCACGTTTTAGTTTGTGGTGTGAAGAAAAAAATCATTAAGAACTCAAGTGAGCACTATTTTAAGAACAAGTTTCTGTTATTATAAGGACCAGAAGATCCTATAGTCTTGTTCTCATTAGAAGATTATTATGAGATTATTACTAATGAAACTTGAGATTCATTTCATACATATTAAGAAATTGATCAAGGATAATTGATTGGGCCCATCAACTATTCGTGATCACAATTTAAATGTTATATATGAAGCATCGTTATATTTGTTATATTTGTTGACAATTAACTCGTAACCCGAAGTTTATGATATTTGTCCTATGGACATAATTTTTAGGTTATGTTGAACACCATTAGTCACCTAAGAGCCTATAGCTCTAGTTAATATGCAAAATGCATTGGATTGGTGGCTATACTTTTGATTATGAGAACAAAGCA